TAAATAGATAAAATATATAATATTCTATAAGAAATGTGCAAGACAGAGAAAAGCAACTTTTATAATAACAAAGATAGAATAATTTAACTTTGTATATAGCACCTTATTTGTTCAAACCATTTGGCATAGGTTAGTTGTCACAACCTCAAACCTGGCTGACTTCAGTGTAAATTTGAAAATAGTATAGATTTATGGATGTAGTTTTAGAAAATCAACTCTACTGCAGTTTTAAATTGCACTGTATGTGTATATGTTTGGGTGTATTTATGCATAAATATGAAAGTTAATGTGTAACTGCCCAAACCGAATCAGAACATAAAATAAGAAAAGAAAAAGAATGGGGAGAATAGATGGATATAGAAAACAGGAAAAGACATACACTTCATTTAGTACAATTCATTGGTTTTCCAATAAAGTAAAACTCAGAGAAGTCAATGAATTATTCAAGGTTGTGCTATTTAGGTGTCTTCTGGTAAATAGTGTAAAGTTATGAATCTCTAAAAAGCAGTGCCAAATGTTTGATGATGTATTGGCTTTTACATTAGTGAATTATTGGGTTCACCTGCAAAATTTCCAAGTCTGATTATGTGTGGAAAGATGTTATAGTATTATCACATTTTTTCCATCCAGTGAACTAGAAAGCCCCTTAATAATGTATTTTTTCTGTATATCTAGGTGTGACTCTTGAGTCAGACTCTTGCCTTGACCCAGGAATTCCTGTGAATGGCCATCGTCATGGCAGTAATTTTGGCATTAGATCTACAGTGACCTTCAGCTGTGACCCAGGATACACACTGAGTGATGACGAACCACTTATCTGTGAGAGGAATCATCAGTGGAACCATGCACTGCCCAGCTGTGATGGTAGGTAGAGCTCAATCAGAAAATACACCATGAAGAAATGCATGGGTCATGGAAATAGCTGAATAGTTTGGGTGCTATGTGTATTTTATGGGGTGGAATCATGTGACTAAGGTATGATGCATCTTCTGAAAAATTGTATACCTTAAAATGTTGCTGTTTAGCGCTTGAAATATACCTACCAAATTCTCCCTCCTAAGTAAATTACTATTTAAATGAAAAATTATGGGCTGTTCTTCAGCATTATCTCTAAATAATCAAACTTACAGAACTTAGTTATATATATTTTTAATTACATATGGCATTTATTAAAAATAGTATAGGGGATGCAGATGGTGTGGTGGTTAAGTGTGCTGGACTCCTGCATGGCTGACCACAGTTCAAGTCTCGGACCTGGCGGCTTGCTTCCTCACTTTCTCTTTCTCTCTCTTCCTCTGTGGTCAAATTTAAATAAATAGATAGATAGATAGATAGATAGATAGATAGATAGATAGATAGATAGATAAATGTTAAAAAAAAAGAAAATGGTATGTGGGACAAGGTAAAATATTAAAAAAAAAAAAAAGAAAATGGTATGTGGGACAAGGTAGTCTATGTAGATATCACACACTGACAGACTTGACAGTCTTCCGACTCAGGTACCAGCATCATTTCTTAGAGGAAATCTCTATGTCTGCCCAGCTCATCTTAGTTCCCTCTGACTCTTAGCCTCTACTGACACTTCTCCCAGGACCTTGATTCTCAGGAACTTTCCAGTGGTTCTTTGTTATATCAGCCACCTTCTTTCTTAAATAGATCTGCCTTGGACTTCTCAAAAGCAAATAACATTCTCGATTTTTGTCATTGTAGTGTTTAAATTTATACTATGTGATATATAGTTACAACAAGTTAGATAAACGTGTTCCTTGTGATCATTTGTCAAAGAATTTGGAATATTTCATCTTTGACCATGAATAGAATGCCATTATAACTCATAATATTATTTCCAAGGAAAAACAAATATATTTGAGGAGGTCTTTAAAAGGTTTATGGAGAGTAAAAAGTTCTGGAAGTACTTATGAAAAAACTATGCATGAGTTAATTTTTTTTTTGCACCAAAATAAGCTCATATTTTAATTCTGTGTTTTCACAAACTTTTTGAAGGCCCCTCATGTGCATATGTGTATTATTTCTGTTTTCATCACTTTTTTAAAAACTGCAGGCATTTCTATTCAAACATGATATATGTATTTATTAAACACCTTGACTTGTTTTAAAACGATATATCCAAGGGCCCAGGGAGCGGTGCAGGGGTGATCAGACAAATCCATCGTATAGGAAAGGACCTGTGGGACCGTCAGGTGGTGTGAGGTTAAGTCGCTGGATCCCACATGGCTGCCTGTGCTGTTCTAGTCCTGGACCTAGCAGCTTGGAAATCATGACAGGCGTGGGTGCATGTGTGCCCAAAATCCTGATGGAAGATAGAAGGAGAAGAGATTGGAGCATGATCTCCCCTGAGTGGGGGTTAGTGATTTTTCACTTTCCCTCTCTCTCTGGTGAACATACTTGCTCTTGTTTGCCTGCTTGCTTGCTTAAAAAAAGAAAGAAAGAAAAAGGAAGAAAGAAAGAAGAAAAAAAAGACCCAGTGTTCACATACCAGGATCTCCCTGGATCTCCCTGAGCACTGTGGTATGTTCTCGCCCATGATCTAGGCCAGCCAAGACTGAATCGGGTGGATCATGCTATAAAGAATGCATTGGGGGTGACTTCTCTCTCCTCTCTCCTATTTTATGAAGAAATAAACAAACTTAAAAAATACACTCAAAATAACTGAGTTTATGGGACAATTAGGCTTACCTGGAGATCGCTCAGAACCTTGACTTTTGTCACTGAGGTATTGATCCAAACAATTCTTGGCATGATGGAAGGGAGCCTGTAGCACGTGAAAGGACAGCACAGAGAGGCTGAAGGCCCTCCGGGGACGTGGGAGTACAGAAGACCAGCAGAGTGGTAGAGCTGGGCTCTGAGCAGCAGAGGAGATATGGGTGTCCAGCCTCTTTCAATCAGTCACCCCTTTATTTGTGAGATCAGTCCATATCATGACACTTGGCTGTGTTTCATTCATTCTCATCGCTTTCTTTAATTTTATAAACATAATACAGATTTCCATTTTACCCTACTCTTTCTGGACATTTGAGCTGCTTTGAATACTTTTTTTATGTGGTTATTTGGCATTGGTAGATGCTGTTTTATAAATCACTTGTTTCTTTGCTTATGTTTATTGGATCGCAGATGTATTTCCTATTGAATTATAGGCACTATGTATGTTTGGAAATTCTGGTGTTGGATCTAGGCCTCATAAATAATTTTCTCTCACTCTGAAGTTGTCTCTCTTTTCTCCAAGAGGTTTTTAGTTTTAGATTTGTGTGTGTGTGTGTTATGCATGTGTGTGAAGAGAAGGCTTTAATTTTAAAGTTTTCAATTCTAAATAGTACTTAGTTTGTGGCATTTAAGTCTTTTCTACCCTCAGATACATGAAGATATTCTATTATTTTCTTCTGAAAACTTAAAAAAGATTAAGAGTTTATTGAGGTATAATTGAAGTACAATAAGCTACATATGTTCAACGTGAGCAACTTGATAGGATTTGAAATATATGCTGGGTGATCAGGAAGGTCATGATACATTTTTGCATACAAAAACATAGAAAGATACGTTATAACTTTCCCTGTGACCTTTATAATCATAAATGTCTTCAAAACTTGTTTGACACCCTTAAAATTAAAAACTGTTTTTTGTCTCTTAAGTTAATGACATTAATGCATCTAAATTTTTTTTTGGTAAAATATGCTGAAATATGTAGATCCATTTTTTTTTCTCCAGTATTGCTATCTAAATGAGTCAGCATACTTTGTCGATAATACTTTCTCTACTGTGATACAAGTGGCCACATACATGTGAGCCTTTTCATTTTTTTTTTCTCTGCCATACAATGCATGTACCCACCAGACAGAGAAAGAGAGGGAAAATGAAAAGTCACCCCCTATTAGAGATGACCATGCCACGGTCACTTCTCCTCCATTCTCCCCTTGAGATTTGGGTTATGAACACACACACATCCAGTGTGAGTTTCAAGCTGGCTGGTTCAGGACTCAAATCACAGTTGGCCATGTGGGAGTCCAGCACCTTAATCACAATGGCACCTGCTGGCCCTGGAGCCTTTTTTTTGTTCTTTTTGAAATGATAGGCAGGCTTTATTCTGAAAACTCCTGGAGGTTTATTAAAGTAGCATCAATGAAAAATGAATAAAAGGATCAACAGGAAATAATTTAGGAGAAATGGAATGGGAATAGACTGAAGAAGACCTTAATGCTTTGCCAGTAACTGAGAGACTGCAGGAGTGCTAGTTATACCTTTGCCATGTTTTTATTAACGTCAAAGGTACAATAAAGTTAATGCATTTTGTCTCTGTTGTTTACCAAATTAATTGGTGCAGATTTAAAACTTAAACTTCTGTAAGAATTGATATACATAACTATTTTGTTACACTGGAACAGGTGTCAGCAAATAATCAATTTATGGCAAAAGGCTCTGCAAACTTTGGGAGATTTTAGTGTGTGATATGAGAGGTTCAGTGAGTCATGGTTGACTGTTTTCATTTATCCATAAGAAACTGTTCTCATAGATTCTTTCAGATCTGAAAGAATCTCCTAAACCCCACAGGTTTTTACTGGAACAAATGATACATCAATAGGATATTTAAACCTTCAAATATTCACAGGTCATAGAAAGGAAAAAGGAAACGAGGATTAATTACAGTTGTGTCACCGTCAAAAAGATAAACTATGTCAATATCACATCTCCACAGCATCATTTCCATTTGCTTGTAATATTTATGCTTTAGCACACTCAAGTTTTATAAAAGGTGACCATTGAGATAAATTTTCTTCCTTGTATCCGGTGGAGGACAAATGGAAGGAAAAGTTTGGAAAAACAGGTAGTTAAATAAGTATTTTTGCAAACTGCTTACTTTTCCATGAGCATTTATTGTAAAACTACTGCATTCATAGCCAAACAATTGAAAAGTTTATTCTTCATCATTACAGGAAGAGTAAAGACCCTTTTAAAAATCACACAACAAAGTAAATGCTTTATTAGATACAAGAAGAAATTTTAAATGTAGTTAACAACTTGAGATCTTGAAAGACCTTTTGAGATATACTTTTAAGAATGGACAGGATTTAAAAGTGAAGAAATTACTGATTGAGGCAACAAGGCATAAAAAAGCCCTGGAGTACTTGGAAGGAAAGAAATTTATTTGCCGAGGATAGCTGGTGAAAGATATCCCGAAGGTCATTAATGCTAGTATAATGGGCATATTATGAGGGCCCTCTAGACTTCTTTGCAGGTAAGACTGAAGTCAGTGGACAGGGCTTCAAATCCCTCTGCTGCTGCAACCCAGTAGCTCTAATTTATGCCCCTCCCTTTTTATTGTAGAGTTTCTATGTAAGATTTCTTCTGAGAAAATAAATGAGTGAATGAAATCAGTGTCTTCTCTGTGGCATGAAGAATCCATGCATAATATTGAAATGGAAAGGAAACCCATTAAATTTTTGCTTTAAATAGAATTGCATTCAGAGTTTAAGACAGAAGAAGAAATGGTAGAAAGAGAGAAAAGAAAAATAATTAAGCTCAAGACTCATTTCACAAGCTGAACTGCAAGAAGGAATTGAGAGTGTTGTAGCTAAAAGATCACCTGGACGAAAAAGAGCACCAGGCCCCGGCTGCGGTGGTACAGGCAGTAGAGTTCCAGTGCCTGATACTGGAGCCACACACGAAGGCCTCAGAGTCGGGTCCCAGACTGTCAGAACACGCCAGGGCTTATCCTAGCTGCACCCCTGATCCTGGCTTACTGAAAGACTCGGGAGGCAGGGGGAGAATCATGCCTAGAAAGACTCTGTCTAGAGTGTCTCTCCTCAAGAAACCAAATTAAGGTGCTGAATTCGCATATAGCTAACCGTGGT